CAGTCATGGGCAAAATTTTTTGATGTTTTGAGAGACGTTTGAATTTATAGCATTTTCGAAGAAAGACAGTACCTTTATTTTCTCACTTTATGAAAAATGAATCTAGAAGTTTCACACTTTAAAAATGAGTTCAAATTCATTGCTGTATGATTTCTTGTCAATTTTTACAAAATATTGAATATTTAGTGCACGTAAGTTTGTGGCCGCCACTATACATCAATTCGGTAGAACGTGCGTTTTTTGGATGATGGATCGATTTTACTAGATTGCACAGAAAATATTTTGGCCAACGTTCAATTTATAATCATTGTCGTTAAATGTTTATCGCATGAAGAAACGAAAATGACTGATAATAAAAAGGGAAGAGGCCGAGGACATGAAAATGAAATAAATATGTCTGTCACATCTGCTAGGAAGTTCTATCTTGTGCAGTTTTATTTGGGAAGGAAATTCTGCCAACTGAATCTCACTAGATATGCATTGAGGCTGTCTCGTACGGTTTCTGTACTCTTGGAAATCTTTCGTAGAGAACTCGTCAGTGAGACCGATGGCTAAAGATTACAGGTTTAACCAGATGTTCCTGACTCAGTAACAAGCTGATAACGAATCTCTAATAGGATTATCTGGATTTAAGTGACGGAGATGTCGCAAATAAATTGAAAAATCCATAGTTCCGGTTCAATATTTCAACTTTATATACACTATTATTTTTCCTTCCTGGATAATCATTCGAATATAATATATTATAGAATCCAGAGAAAATTTCCAATCATTTGCAAGCTTAATCATATATGGTTTATATGTAACCAAAATTTAGATTGAAATTAAAATTGTCTTCTGGGTCTGAAGATTAATGTTTAGGTGGATATTTTTACGAAAATATGCTGTCCACGACATTAATTCTATTTACTTTAAATCTAAATATTTAAGCATTGTTATATTACAAATTGAACAATTCATTAATACATTTCTGGTTAATTAATATTAATAATAAACGGCGTAATATAAATATTGTGCTATATAAATATTAAATTTTGTGTAAATTAATTGTATTATACAGAAAATTACAGAGTTGTAAAGATTCTATAAAATGTATAAAAATGCATAAAGGGATTAATGTGGAATTGATGCGAATTAAATGGGAAATCTGGAAATTGAGAGAATATATTTCGAATTTGGAAGTTTATAACTGTAGTCATTAAATGTTCACATCATATGCTCAAATGAAATTTAAACACGAGGTTATTCAAAAGAGAATATCATAATGTTACATCATGAATGTCTATTTGTTACTTCTCTCAGATATCAATTGAATTAAAAAGCAAAGGTACACTTAATTTAATTTATAATTTTCAACGTGAATTTGTGTATTAATAAAATTAAAAGAAATTTTGTACGTAAGTTTGAAGCAAGTTTCAGTTGTTTGCTTCTAGAATATTTTTTGTCCCAACTCGGAGTTTCTCGTCTCGTTGCACGTACTTCTATGAAAATTTAATAGTGGCGCACGAAGCGGTAATTATTCAGTTTTCGATTAATAATTTAATATCATGTAATTTAAAATGCAATAAATAATGTTCACGCTATCGATAGTAACTTTTCACTTTTCATCACAGTGTTGGACGTGAGGATATAATTTAAATAAAAAGTAGAAAACCTTCCGTGAAAAGAATTTATATGAAATTACGGTGATCAGCGTCATTCCGTGCATTGATTTTTCCGACAGAAGAACGGATAAATATATGTTTCAAAATTATTTCGAAATATCATCGTGTAAAAGAGGTGAGAGAAGAATTACCATGAAATACAACGCACGATTGTCGTCATGTGGTCTTGGAGATCGACGGAACTACAACGACCGGAAAGCGTGCATAAATTATAAATTATGCGGAAGAGATAAAGGTGACTGAGTATAATACTACATACATACATATGATCATATAGATGTGTATATGTATATATATATACTACATCGCGCGTGCACACATATTAGATGCAACATATATACCAGAATACGATGTTCCAACAGCAACAGAGTCACATTTTGCTGCGATTTAACTCATCTGTCTTCATTACTTACATACGTGTTTTTTTTTCCAACGATCCCCGTCGAACGGCCAAGTTTTCGCTAAACAAACAAAACTCAAGGTCTCTTCGTCATTTAACGTGATATTTTCCAATAGTATATGGAAAGTCCATGGATATTAACTTTTCCTCCGTCTGTTATCACAGAAGTAAATTCAATCCACCATGATAATTTTCATGACAATTTTTCACTGTGATTTTATCTGATTCAATCATTAATTCAATGTCTTGTCTAAGACATATGAAAGGGAACCAGCAAATTATCGCGATAGATGATTCTGCAATATCAATCTGCAAATCATTTGAAAATAATTAAAAGCTATATGGAATTGAAAAAGAATTTGAGGATTAAAATGTTTCGGATTACGAGAAAGGTAGAAGGAACGAGAAAGGTAAAAGGATAAATTTGAAAACCAACGCTTTTGTTGAACTTTATGCTTAAAATCGAAATCAATTGCAGCATTAAAGTTAATGCGATTGATTAAAGGTGTAAATTAAAAAATTTTTAAATAGAGTACAAATTTACAATTAGAATTTCAAAATCTTAAAATTCCCTAAGGAAAATTATAGTGGAACGGATGAAAAGGAAGCGAAATGGAAAATTACGTTACTATCCAAGTAATAATTTACAAAAATACATATGTATATGATTGATGAGGTTAGATCAAACATCTAGACTATTTTAAAATTACTATATTTATTCGTCTGGTGTATCATTTGAACAGACGTTTCGTGTGTCATTTTATATATATATATATACAAATGTGTACTCTCTGTACATCCTGTCCTAAATAATAACCGATAATACATAACCTGTACAGAAGCGAGAATTTTTTGATTACTAATAACCATAAGGTTTCTGACAATTTTACAACGCTTATAATTCACAGTCAACACGCACGTTTTTCACACTTTCCCTCCTTTTTGTTTCGCTACTATTGTTTCTGTTTTCTTGTTCGATAGTTTAACATATAATTGACTAATTTAATTATTTACTTGCTAGTTGGTTGATGCACGCTTGCCTCAAAATTTCAGTTTTTCACAAAAACGCGTATTTCTCCTTGACATTGATTAATCGACAAATAGTATACAACGGAAAAAACGAATTTTAGGATTACCAATGAAACGTGCGTGCACGGTCGCATTTTCTGGAAACATTTTCCGAAAACGGATAAATTTTTGAAATAAATTCGCTGTAACATAACTCTGAGAATCGGAAAATTATACCTTGTATCGTTTGAAAAGTTTTGTTCAAATAAACATTCTCACTCGTTCGCAACTTGACTAATTTGCCGATTGATCGTTCTAACCGAGATTGATATACTCTGAATCGGACATTTGCAGACCGAAACATGTTATCAAGCCATAAATGCATTCTTTCTTTCTTTTTTTTTTTTTCGGTCGAGTGCGCGTAAAACATGCCCCATACTCGATTATTAGTGGAAACACCGTGGAAAAATAGTTTGCCTATTGTAGTATTATAACCATACGCTTGGATATTCGACAATCGAACCGCTAAATCGATATCGCGTGTAAAAAAGAATTAGGCTACGTTCGACTTGAATATCGTCGTACATTAGGCGAGTTGACATACTTCAATCAAAAATCTACTTATTCGTTAGCTGAAATAATCTCTCGTAATACGTTGCGTTTTTTCCTCATTTTCTAGCCATTTCATTTCGAGTTTTCTCGAACTGTGAGACTACCTGATCACTTTGAAGTAGTTCCATTAGAATTATAATGTAATGTATGTATACTTATGTAGATGTTCGTCTCAACACGTCACTTGCAAACGCCATTACGAAATGCGTTTCGAACTCGATATGTTTGCATTCTGTGCGGCTCGATTTTATTCGCGAAAAAAACGTTGTGTTTACATAACAAATATGTGTTTCGGATCAACAATTGCAGATCGCAGCGTGCATTTCAGTTATCAGTTTCAACATGCGATGCAGTTAAGAATGCAATGGAAACAATAGGAATTATGATGAGTCCTTTGCTTTAACTAACTTTAACACATCGCGAGTATACAATATGTAATATGGCAGGGAATGAACGCCTCCGAAAAACATACTAGCATACATTTTTGATTTCGATATAATACGATATTGTTTACAATGAAAATAGTACAATGTTAACGAAAATTTGCAGTATAATATATAACAATCAGTAAATAGCGTTCTTTCATCGAACAACATTCGATTTAGACGATAACAAAAAAATTGTTTTTCACACTTGCGTGATAGTATTAACAATGATAGAGCTTGCGCCTCTTCCTCGTTTACAAAAATCTTTGGTCCGTGATCCAATCGATCCAATATGCGGAAGATAATCTCTTTCGAATGAAAAATAAACCCTAAAAAGGTATAGTGGCGCCGATCTCCAGATCCATCGATCTTTCGGTTAAATCGATCGATCTGACGACACAACGGAGCGCGCTAAGGGACGATCGCGAGCCATCCAATGAACTTTGAGTACCTACGGTTCTCCTCGATGGTCGAACGAACCTTCTGCTGGTTCTGTTAGGCCAGGTTCGATAGAAGGGCTCCTGCTGGCTGTGATGTTTCAAGGCACTCCAGATGACCGAGGATCTTCGCGGTGGTAAATGGGAATGCGACAGGCAAGCGCAGTGCTGCCAGGCTAAGGTCGGTGTTTTGCAACGGAAAATAGGAGCTCGGAAGGCCTCGGGAGGTTTCAGAATCAGGAGATCGTTCAGTTTTAAAGACAGTTTGGTTGACGACTCTTTCGAAACCGGAACACCATCCATTGACTGCATCACGTTGCGTCCAGTCGACTGTAGAATAGCAACATCACCGCGTAATGCCCCCGCATTTCTCTCGATAGACTTCGAAACGGAGGTATCGTTCAGCTCCGTTCCGTTGATTTCACCAATATTGCCGAAACGAGTCTCTCTTGCATTGGCGATTTCCACCGATTTCGGTAACGGGACGTCAATCTGCTTTCCCATTCCATGAGACCTTGATGTTTCAGAATTTCGTAAGAATTCCAGGACGGTACGGACCGATTGACTAGGCCGATCGATCGCGTCGACGTGCGTGGATCAGGAGGACGAATTCGCCTCTATCGTCGAACTGGTCGAGGCATCGTCGTCCAAGGAGCTTTGTGTCGCTACAGTGACTTTGTTACCATCGTTCCGACTAGGCAACTGAAGATCAGTGACAGTTTGACGGGGATGGCGTCTCTTGTAGGGCTCCCAATCCCCTGAACCCCGGCGTCAGTGCGTTGCGATCACGTCCGGCGCGCTCTTTGTGCTCTCTATACTGAAAGGTCGCCTCTGATCTATCTCTATCACCGCTTCTGCTCTGTACCTGGGGTCAGATGTCGTTTGCTGAGGGCACTTGGGCGTGCCAGAGTGTTGAGCGCTCGATGCGTTGCTGGATCCGTGTCCAGATCCATACACGGAACTGCCGTACCTCTCCCCGGAGCCAGATGTACCTTGCCGCAATAATTTCGGCGACTGACGATAGACACTGTTTTCTCTGTTTGACTTTGGACTTTGAAACCTTTGATACGACGGATAATCCGGAGGTTCATGGTAGGGAGAACCTTGACGCGAAGGTAACGGATAACTTGACTCGCGAGTCGACCAACCGGGCGGGGCTGGAATTGGGTTGTGCTTCGGGCAAACGCCCATACTGCCGTCTCGACCTCTCGATGCTGGACTACAACCAGAACATTGAGAGCCTGGCTGCTGGGAGCCATGCTCGGAAGACTGCTGCACGCTGTGCTGTGAAGGCTGAGAGCTTTGGCGCGATTGCGGCGGACTTTGATGATGAAGGTACTGATGACGATGATGATGGAGATGATTGGTCCCGTTTTGAGAGCCCGGAGCACGAACACCAAACGTCGTGAACCCCACGGGCATTGCATTGTCCGAGATTCGAGGCTCAAAAAGGCTTTCTCGTGTTTGACAAGAATTGTCGCGCATTTCGGGCTCCTCGCTGGACTCCTGTAGACGTTCCTGGGTGGCATTACTAACATTGTTACTTTGGTGAATGTCGTTCATGTCTCTTGTATTGTAAGCCATCTCCAATACGAGATCCTTCGTATAGTCCTGTGCTATTAGCGTTGTGGGTGGTAGAAGTTCTTTACTGGGAATCACTTCCAGGCTCGGCGAGTCGCTCCCTCGGTCCCTGATATCCGTTCTGGAGGATGTGATTGGGCAGGGTGTTGTCTTACGACCGAGTTCATCTAATCGATTTTCTCTGGATTGTCTAATGTGTTCCTGGACAAGACAAACGAATTCTTTCAATTAGCCGAACAAATATCGTAATAGCGGAGATTACGTACGGAGATGGTCAGAAGTTTCTAGTAACTATCTTCTGTTAATGGTGTTTGCACTGCATCTCTTATTTAATTAGCTACAACGGATCACTATTTGATCGATAACATTCAGAATGTTATGTTACGTTATATTGAACAGTATGAAACATTATCTCTTTGATCCTTTCCCATATCGTACTCACGCGCTCGTCATATTACTTTGTGTTTCAATTTCAAAAAGCTTTGTAAATAACACATTGGCTGTTAACTTTGAACAAATACGGTATGCTATAGTATGTTATTTCTCATTCAAAGGATTAAAATTTTAAGCCGTTGGTTTTAATTACTTAGTAGATTTTCATTTGTCCGATTGTTTTTTTCTTTTTTTAAATAAAATGAGGATTTTCCATCTCGTTACCTTATATTTTGAATTTACACTGCAAATAACACACTTCCAATGATAGTGAAATGACCGATCAACAGCATCATTTTACTGTAAATAATAGCGATATTTAGTTTCCTCGTTGAAATAAATGAAAGGACTGAGCTACGGAACGATATATTTCATAACTGTAATTATGCAGTATTATAATAATAATAATGTATCTTGATTTGAAAAAAGCAATTACTCGTAAATAATTATCGCGATTCCGGAGACGATTATTTGTTCAAAATTAATTTTGAATTTTCATTCTCTTCATCAATATTTATTAGTTTAGTTTCCCAGTATTCACGATTCGATCGATCAATCTCATATTTTTTATTTCTTGTAAATTTGACTCGTTCGTAACAAACGAACTGGATTCATTTTGTGTCGTACCGTTTCGATCTTTTTGCGAATTGTGTGACTGTTAGACACGGGAATACACGAGACCGTACGTGACAAGTTCAGATCGTGGGCCGAATCGAAGTCCTACTATGTTCAAAACATAATAGAAATTCTAGGAACGTGTAACAAGGCGAATCGGATATAATGCACAAAGCACCTCTAGTCTTTCGTGATTTATCGATACGTGCGTTTCGTGTTGTTCGTGATATTGTATATAATCTTTCAAATAAATGTATTTTCGAAGATTGTCAAGCATATCACGTGCACTAGATAGAAATAATAATTTTAAGTATAGTTGATTGCGTCGAAGCTAATGCTGATGTCGCGCTAAATGACTTTTCGAGTAGTTTTCATTGCGAGCAAAACTCAACCTTCAAAGTTATTCGGGAAAATATTTTTCAAAAGAAATGACTAACATGGACTCTTAAACAGATGGATAATCCAAGGATAAGATCCAAGATAATGGCTCCACTTTCCAGAATACTGTCGCGATGTCTTTTCAAAATTTACGCTAATCCCTAGGGCGTTTTATAGGTCCGGAGAAAAATCAAAAAGCAGTCAGTCTGTTTCTCAAAAGTCAGTCCGTCCGTGTTCGAAGTTAAGGAGTCAGGACAGTTTGAAATTTTCAAAAAATCGATCTTTTTATTTTGTTTTAAATAATAGTTTGAAGACTTAGGAATAGATACAAAAGGTCCTAGCCTTTAAAACGACTTATTCTGGGGTTTAATAATTAAGTCCGTGAATACAGAATAATTGAATTTGTATCACTGTTTATAACTTTAAGCAGTATTATAAAGTGTAAATCGTGTAACTGTTACTTTTGGTGAATCGAATATTAGGGAACTCGGATTCAATTTAGTTGTGAATTGTAAGAACTGCGAGTCGCGATATATGAGTAAAAAAAGTAAGTAAAGGATACATATGAAAATTGACGTTTTGAAACTTTAAACGTGTTTTTCTCGAAACTAGGTTGTTAGAAACGGTGTGCAAGATATCTCGGAATCTAACCAACCGATTACTGTGAAACTTGATATGTATCGTTAGTGTAACATTTATTAGCGATTGACGATCGTACATTTTTTAATTTTTAACAATTTCGAAAAATATAAATAAGAAACGTAGAAATTTTTGGTATAAATTCGATACATCAAAAACAAATAGCTGCTATTTTCATAATTTTCACAAAAATGAATGGATCCAACATTTTCACAAAAATGTTGGATCGTCAATCCCTAGAGAATATTATTTACTTTTGAACTTTTGTTGCCTTTTTGTTGCAACTAATCCTACTTGGCTGAAATCATGCACACCGATAGGCAATGTAAAAAAAGTTATATAAGGATGCCGTTAAAAAGTTAAATAAGAACCTTCTTTTTTTCTTTTTTAATATTGCTTTTTATAGTTTATAATGTGTTAAAATAAACCACAAAAGTTCATGTCAATCAAACATGTACTTTTTTCTTACTAGCCGTTCAAAATATTCGTAATTTTTAGTCCCGTCAAACTGTCCTGCTTGCTTAACCTGAATCTAACTCCGTTGTTAATAAACTGTAAGTTTAAAAAAAAAAAGGAAATCCAGATTCTAACATTGAACCCTCAAAGTCATATCGACAACAAAATTTTAACATAGAATACGCATACTCTGAATAAATATTACGATCGTTATCAAAATATAAATATGAAGCAATGCAACACGTAAAATCATTGAGATCGTGTCTGAAAAATTTATTACCATGCTAAAATATTTTATGTGAGAAAACATATAATCGTATTTTACAACAGACTGTTAGTTGATAAAAGAAGATTCACTTACCCGAATGATTCGATGATCTCGAATCAGCTTCCTCACGCAGTTGAAAACGAAGGCGAAACTCATGCCAAACATGATCAGCGAGAAAACGATGAGAATTATAACGATATGCTGTGAGTCAATCAACCGAGATTTTTTTTTCTGTAATGCAAAATATAAAAGAAACATAAAAGAAACTTCTTGTTTAATTGTAAACAACTTGGAATGTATAACGTTACAAACCTAGCTTACGTTGAAAAAATTTGATATTTACATTTACAAATTATGATTATAATTATGACTGTACTACGGTTTTTTACGTGTTTATAGGAAATTTCAAAATGCAAAATTGCAAAGAATGTACGTAATATGAAAAAAAATACATAAAATATACAAATAAATAGATTTTTTTAATTATGTTCTCAAAGATATGAATTTATATATAAATCCGTATGACTTCAAATAGAAGTATTAAATTTTATTACAAGAATGTTAGAAATTTAATATTTTCGACATAACCCAATCATAAAGTGTAATGAGAAAATATTATATACAAGAAATTATTTGTCATATATGAGTATTTGTTCCGGTAGATGAATTCACCTTGAGTGAGTAGTTGATCACTAACAAGGAGATAATAGAAATTGCAAAATCTCAAATGAGTTTATGCATTCGATGTTTTACATTGATACTAAAAAAATCCTAAAAGTGTTTGAGTGCTTTGTTTTTGAGAAATTAACAAAAAAGAGAAGATACGAAGATATGTGGCATGCAGTGAAATTATTGGATAATTGCAATATATTTAAAAATGTTACTAAATTATATTTCTCAAAGGACATTCATAAACAACATTGCAATGATGCATCTGTAATAATGTGATTTCTTTTATAAGCAATTTCTTACGTTTCAAATATTTTTCTTTACGATATCTGTAAAATTGTAAAAAGATATAGGAGCACTATAAATAAATAAAGATAATAGAAAATTTATTAAAATAAACTGTAAAAATTGAATACGCTTAAATGAAATAAAAGTCTGAGCATTTATTCACTTGACTACATTACGTTGTGTGAATTTTATTTATGTTCGTATCTTTCTGCGCTCGAAATAATTTCATTAACTTCTCGAAAAAAAAACTTTTGGAATTATTTTACTATCAATGTAAAGCATCGAATGCACATGGAGCCAACTCATCCAAAATTTCGCACTTTTCGTCATTTTGTAAATTACATATTCATCTATAGAAGTTGTAACAGCCCTAAATGGAAGACAGTACATGTAACATAAATTATGTTTCTTTTCTGTTTCCTTCTTTGTTTATCGCGAACTCACATTATTAAATATCCTGCCAAAATTTTTAATGACATGATATATCTTTTCGTAAACATACAAAATTAAAATTCAGAGATGAGATTCTTCTTATCGTGCGCATGCGAAAGTATTGCCCACGCAGCATAACATTCGTTTTCTTTTCGTTCTCATCTCTATTGTTGTGTCTAGCTTCGAAATTATAAATAATGGGAATGTAGCCTGTATATCTCGCCGAAGGCTTAATTTTGAAATCCTCTCGCTCGGTCAGGAACTTTTATGAACGCGTATAAAACTGATTACTACAGTTTTACGACTATAAGACGGAATTGGAGTGCTTCAGATGGAACAATAGGGGACGAGGCGGCCAATATGTTTCAAAATTGATTAGAATTAACGCTGCTGTGTTATTCATGGATTGAATGGATGGTTGCATAATCTCGATTGTTTTGTTGGTAGCGCGTCCTGATTTTTTTATCCCCACGTGGATCGCTAAACCACGAGCATATATGACCAAGAGATAAGAATAATAAGCACATCGCGCATAATGAGAGCACATTTTGCGAAGTGCTGGTACCATTAACAAAATAGACGGAATTATCGTGGTCGTATTTTTCACCGAGATGTTTGTGGAAGTATTTCTGAATGTCGAAGAAATAAGATTTCTGCGCATTAGATCATTTAATATTTCTCAAAAAAATCTTGAATCGATGACAGTGCAACCAAGAGGAGAAAGAAACGAAGAAAGGGAGCCAAGAGGAGAACGAGAAGTTTTGGTCGAGGAGTTGAAAATGCCTCTCTTTCTGCTTCCGCAAGTTCGAGAGGTTTATTGTTATGCTTATATGGGCGAGCACACTTCAACGGACGTTTTACGTGTTTGCTAAAGTCCGTACAAAAATATATTTCGAATGGCTATTGCATTCGCGACGAGAGACATTTTTGATGCTTTCCTCCGCTATCGAGCAGGGATTTATTCCGGCCTGCAAGCGGAACTTCGATATTTTCGATTGTGTCGATATTTATTCGGCTTTACTCTGCTGAATGTCATGTCGAGTATGATGAAGATTTTCTTTCAGGTAATGTTTTTTTCCAATCCCTACCGTTTTCTTCCTCTATTCTTTCTTTCCTCAATACCGACAATAATAAGATTATTAATTCATTGAAATATTCATTTTTATTCTGATCGAGATTACTTCATTTCAATTTAGATTCGATTTAATTTTTAAAATAGCACAGGTTAAATTTATTGACATTTTTAAGATTTTCAATTAATAATAATAACAATAATTTAATAAATTTAATAAGATTTTCGATTAATAATCGAAATAAGATAATAAGATTTTCAATATTATTATCAAATAATCGTACATAATCTAAGAATCTCATATTATAGTAAGTAATTTCAATCAATTATACCTATGGATAACTCGGCTATGGATAATTATTTACAAAGCGGACGACCTTACGAATTTTTATGATTTTGAAATATGTGCATGATTTCAAATCTTTTCCCTATGTATGTTACCACCGCTCGGCTTTAGTTCCCAAAATCAAAAATAATTTTGCCACTCTATATCGTTTGGGATGTTTAAATTAATTGAAATCATTAACGTAGATTTGAATTTTAGATGAGATTCGAATGCTGCCAAAGGGACGGAAAGACCCGATGGTAGCTTTAACAGAACATAAAATACCTTCGTACGACATACTATTAAATAATACCACAACTGCAATTTATATTATACTTTTTATTATATTGCCCGTCATTTGAAATTGAGAATACTTCAACTATAACGTCAGAAAAAGCAAGCTATTCAGCTACCAATTATATTGCCGTCGAAACAGCTATATGTATAGTCTAAGTAATGTGTTTACGAGTTCCATACCGTGGAATATTTGCCTGAATTTTCCGCCAGGTTTCTACGTTTGGTATGCTACTGTGCATTACTGTGGAACAACAAAATGTATCTAATTTTAACAACTAAATGATTATATCCTTTATCTAAATGTTATATCCTGTTAAAATTGTTAACAGAATACCCAAATTTAATCTAATTAATACAAGCACATTCAAAACGTTAGAGATATGATATAAAATAACTAAAATATCTTTGCAAATATCTCGGAAATTAAAATCGAACGATGGTAACATGTATAGGAAAAAATTGTTCACAATATTGACGTTAACATATTTCAAAGTCATCAACAAAATCCGCAAGACTGCCCGCTTTGTAAATAATTACCGATAATTCTTATCATCGTAAGCATCGTGTCCACGTTGATAAAAAAGAAAAAAAAAAATTGTCGCGCTGTTGATCACAACTCTATTCATTCAATTCTCCCTAATTCTACTTAATGACAACTGAGAATCTTCGCCGAGTTTTGCATAGGTTCGTCTATTCCTTGACCCGGATCACTGCAGTCAGATTCGCGCCCTGCTGCATTGAAATTAATGATAGTCCGGCGAGGATCCGCTTCTTTCGTTCGAGAAAAGAAATAATTAGTCGCGAGAAAAAAAATACTGAAGAACTTCTCATTAACGGGGGAAATAACGAATATACGGCGAGGATTCTGTTATGTTCTTGATTCCCGTTTTATGTTACCGCAAGGGCGACTGGCATTGCGAAAAGGGCTGATAATTAAAGAACATTCTTGCGACGGTAATTATTATAGAATATCTCGTCACCCGGTGCCAGAGTGAAATCGATATCTTTAAGAGAAGAAGAGCCTCGAGAACGACTGATATAAATGAAGACGCGAACTAGTCGATCGAGGAAGAATCAAATGCGACTTTATTTCATTCGAATCGTGCAATTGAATCGCGAAGATTAATACTTGAATGGAACTTAATCGGGGCTTGAATATCAATCGTCCAACTATCGATTTATTTTCTTCTTAGATCGAGGCGACCATGCAAAATTTCATTCTACTTAGGAACCTTTAGGATGTAATCATGTGCTCAGTTTAATAATGCTCAGGGTAACATTGTGTGGACCGTTTTCGATCATTTCTCCATCGCGTTCTTCTCTCCTTTTTTTTCATGACGTCTGCTTTCCATTAGTATTTACCTGCAAGCCTCAAACGATGTAAATGGTATTGGGATATACTTTCCATTAGAGGGAAATAAAATCGGATAGGACGGTTGCCACGGCGTGTTTGCCACGATTTCGTTCTGCATTCTATTTGTGCCGTCAATTTCGTAACCGCTTTCCCATGCGAACGGGTCCCACTATTCTAGCGTATAATCTTGTCATGCTTTATTGCAATCATGAGACACAGGTAGGTACACGGATAGTAGAAACAGGAATAAGAGAAGCAATAAACGGCAACGAAATGCTCGGTGACACAATCTAGTTCGTTAAACGCCAACAACGATTTTTTCATTTTCTACCGAGGAAGTTGCGCGAGTTGCAAATGGCTGTATAAATTTTTATTGATCTTGTGCTTGAGTCGATTACGAAGCTTCCTAAATAATATACTTTGAAAATTTTTTTAAATACCTGACTTGCGAAATATTGCATCGCAAAATTACGAACGACCACTTTCTTTTTTTTTAAACTCAAAGTTTAATTTCCTCCATTTGAGCCGTTTTTAGTATAAGTTCAAATAGTATAAGTCAAAATAGTATAAGTTCAATTTTGAAAAAAAAAGAGTTAAGGCTAGTTTTAGTTAGACATGAATATTTTCTTTCCATACTTACAATAACAAATGCTGTACAAGTATGTACTGTCTTTATAAATTCATCAAAAGATGTTGAATTAACTGTTGAGTTATTGCAAGAATGTTTTTTTTTTTTTTTTTTTTTTTTGAAAGTGGGAAAGTCCATTATATGCTGTTCAGGATATAATAAAGAA